TTCTGGAGTAGAATCCCATCCCCTGTTGTTCGAGGGGAACCTCCTGAATAGTCTCTATGTCCAGCAAGTGCTAGATGGCTGACTCCATCAGACTCCGCCTCCCAGGATCTCTAGATACTGGGCAGGAGATAAAGAACCTCAAAGGAGTGGAGTAGAATTCCAGTGAAAGACCCAATCTAACGGTTGACAGAACCCAGGCGTCTGAGGTAATACCCTCCCCCTGGTCAGCAAAGCATGCTAAATGACCACCAATGGGAGCAGAGAGAGCACTAGTGCTGGCAACGGTACAGGCAACTTCCTCCTCCTCGAAAGGGCCATTTAGAAGAAAACTGCTGCCTGCCCTTGCCTGAGCAATCAGGAGGAGGATCTTGAGGCTGATAATCAGGTTTCAACGGCCGAGGGAAACTGGAAGTTGACTCCCCTCTGGCCAGAGGGTGCTGGTAATAGGGAGTGGTCTGATGTTTCACCCTCTTTAGTGGTGAAGGAAGGATCTTTCTTTTGTCCTTGGTCTCAATCAAAAGGGGCTCAAGGACCTCTCCAAAGAGTTTCTCCCCTTGGACTGGTGCAGACGCTAGCTTCCATTTCTGTCTGTCATCAGCTTGCCAATTGTGAAGCCAGCACATGTGCCTGGCTGCCACCGAGGAAGCGATGGCCTTCGTGGCAAATCTGGCGCTGTGGAGGGTGGCATCAGCTGTAAATTCCGTGGCCACCATAATCTTGTTGATGTCCTGGTGGGCCTGAACATCCGAAGGGGGAATCCTCTCCTGCAGCTGCTTAAGCCATTTGAGCGAGGTTCTCATGAAGAAAGAGACCACTCTAGAGGCCTTCACAGCCCAGGCAGTGGCCAAATGGGATCGCTGCAGTGACTGTTTGCTTGTCCTCTGCCTTAAGGACTTCCTCTGGGTCCAAAGGGGCAGACGAGGATGAGGGCAAGGCTGCAACTGGAGCATCAACCGTGGGGACCTGGAGTATCTTGGTACATTTAGGCCCCACGTTGAAGAACCTGCGATCAGAGGCCAAAGGATTGGGCCTCGTGGCAGGAGCTTCAAGCTGCTTCTTGATTACCTTCAGGAACAGTTTTGGCGAAAGAACCACTTCCTTCATGACTTCAGGCTCATCGAACAGCACATCTGACTCCTCAGGGGGGAGAGTAGTAGGGGCCTCATCATCTGCATTTTTCAAATTGGCAGTGTGTTTAAACACAGAGTGTGTTTAAAACAATCAGTAAACACCAGAACTTCCTGTAAAGGGCCTTCATCCGCTGACATATCAGATTCCGGCCAATCAGTTTCCCCCACTAACAATGGAGCCATGGAGGCAGCAGGAACAAAGTCTTTCACCAACCCAGAAACTGGCTCCTGGATGAAGGAGCCTCGTTCTGACAAAAGAGCTTCACGAACCCAGGATCTTCTCTCTGACAAAACAGAGGCAGCTGAAGAGTGACGGGTCGCTCTCTGTAAACCTTATGAGATGCTCTTCCTGATTGCCTTGTCAATTAGAAGTTGTAGATTCATTGGGATATCCAGATCAGAAGGGTCAGTGGGGCGGACTGCTGATGCAGTAGAAGGGAAGGGGGGGTTCCACTCCCTGTCTACTCTTCCATGCTCTGCCAAGGTGCCTCATCTCCCTGAAGATCCTCGGCATGACTGTCGCCTTCAGAAGGAACTGGAGATGCACCTCGCCTGGATATATTAGGGGACCAAGTTTGGAAATCAGGTCTGGAAGAAGGTCCAGGCTCCTCCAAATCCACTTCACTGAGTGCAGCTGGAGAAGAGGGGCATGCAGACGTTACACGAGAAAAGGCCTGATGCACCTTGGCTATGTGCTTCTCGGTGGCTTGATGACGCCTGGAAGCATCCTTTTCCTCTGCCCTTGAGGCCTTCTTTACAGGCTGCTTCCCTTTGGGTGAAGCAGCAGGAGCCACCTTTTGAGGCGTGACCGCTTTAGAAGCTCCTGGTTTATCTTGGAGCTTCAGCCATCGTGGAGCAGCAAGGCCAAATCTGGGCTGGAAGTTCTGTGACAGGAGGAGAACACAAAAAGGGATTTATGGATTCAGGGGAAATCTTCTCTATCCCCACACGAGCCACCACTTTCTTCTGCCCAAAAGCACATCAGTAGAAAGATTTCTCTTCCTACTGGGACTCAAACCCTCCTGGGCCTGTTAGGGCAATATGGATAGACCAGGCCCCGCTGGGAGCCCAAGGTTCCTGGTCTACTTTGGGACAGGGAAACCAATCCCCCACTGGGAAATTAGAGGTTTTTAGCACCTACCCTTCGATGTCATCCGCAGCAGGAACAGCAACTGGTGGTGACAAAAGGCGCAGGAGTGTGGGAAGAAGAAGAAGCCTAGTCAAAATGGCCACCTGATTCTTCAAAATGGCCAACAGTGGAGTTCAAAATGGCCACTGGCCACGAGGAGTCTTCAAAATGGCCACTGACTATCCACAAGGCTTCCATCTTCATCCAGGGAGGAACTGAGCTCTCCCTGGATCTTTGTTGCTCTGTAGATGCAGAGAAAACTGCAGAAAAAGCAGCTACAGGACCATGCGGCTGCTTGCTTCACCACGGGGGGGGGGGGGGATTCCAACCCTGAGGCAGGAGTGTGGCCAACACCCATGGTCTCAGAAAATGGCTGTCCAGCCAAGCAATAACTTCTCTTAGCTGCGGAGCGCCGGAAATACGGTCCCGCGGCTCCGTAGATCTGGCAGAAGCCTCCACCCTGATGAATGACCCTCTGGTCGTTCAAGCTGCTATCTTTGTCCCGGAGGGCTTAGAACGGCCCCCGCGGCCTCTTCAGGCAGCTCTGGATCCCTGGAGCAGCCCTCCGCTGTTTAGCGGCTCCTGATCAGCAGCTGAGAAGCGGAGCGCCAAGCTTGAAAAATAAAAGGCAAAGCGGAGGATTTTTTCCCTTAAGGAGAAATTTCTTTGTTAAAAGGATGCTTTTGGAATAGAAAAGTCCAAAGGCAGGAGAGGCAAAACCCATGTCTTTAGCTGCTAAGGACTGATCATAAACTGGGGAGGAGTCACCCAGAGTTGGCGGAGCTAGGCCATTAAGCCTTTTGCACAGACTCAGTCCTAAGCAGATAAGGAAGATTACTACCCCATCCTGACCTGTCGATGCCTTACAAGGGAAAAACACACTGTAAATTCCAAAGAGTTTTACTGGACCTAAGTGAAGTAAGGTAGTTTTAATGTTTTAAATTGAGCTGTATCTGATATCAAGATATGATGTCATATTTACAAAAATGATTGGCCTGTTTACAAAAATGGTCAGCCAAATTTCTGCTTGAGTATGCTAGTAACCATAGGCTTAGTTGTTACGTGCAAGCATAGATCAGAATAACCCAATAAGATATTCTCTTTTGCCCATTACACAACATATTCATTTGCATAGATACCAACAACAATGATATATTTATTTTATGCTGTCATTATTTTTAAACAATCCATAGCAACATATGGAGGAGGAGGGAGGAGCAGGGGGGAGCTGCTGGCTGCTTGTGAGGAGGCAGAGGGTGAGTACAAAGGAGAAAAGCAGTTTGAATTGCTTCCATTGCATTTCAAATTCCAAGAGGTTGGTGGGAGGAGCTGCTGGGTGCTTGTGAGGAGGCAAAGGGTGAGTACAAAGGAGAAAGATAGCAGCCGTTAGGTGCGCGAATCATATAACTATAAACCAAAAATACCAATAGTACATTTAGGGTTAGTGCGCTTGAGATTGTGATTTTATTTTATTTCAAAATGACTGGCTTAGTTCAGTGTAATACTTGCTTTACAGCAGTCTTTCGCAGTACTCTTTTCAAATTTGGATACTGTCCTCTTTGTAAAAAAATTACCAGTCTACATGGACAGTTTACCTATCTAGAATCTCTAATCTGCGCTCTCCAAGCAGAAATTAGGTGCCCAATCCAGCCATCTATTGAGCTGCCATGCTACCAGCCCCCACCACCACAAAGATCTTACAGGAAAAGGGCAGTATGGACAACCGTGGGATCTGGCAGGGTGAGAGCTGTGGACCATAAACACAAAGCTTTTGCTGTGCCCCAGCATAATAGATACAGTGCCCTTGCTGACCTTAATAGGGACACTAAAGTGACAGGACAAGGTAGTTGTGATAATGATAACTCAAATAAGCCGGGGATCATAGTCCTAGAAGAAGAACTTACTTTGGAAAGGAGAAAGTGTGAATCAGGTATTACGCACCAGTCACACAAGAAGAGTAAGGCATCCAAAAAGAGAAGCCACCTTCTGGTTGGGGACTCAATTGTAAGGGATGTAAATTTAGGAAAGGATACGGAGGTTTTGAAAGAGGTCAGGTGTCTGCCAGGTGCTACAGCCAGCAGAGACAAGAGGTGTATTCTTCAGATAGTCAAGAATACCAGTAAGGACTGTGATGTTGATGCTATTATACATCTTGGTACAAATGATCTGTCCCAGAAGGATGTACTTTCTGTTCAGAAATACTTCCAGAACTTGGGGTATGAACTTAGTAATATGGGCTGTAGCCTTATCTCTTCAGAGGTTCTACCAGTATACAAGGAACAAAAAGGGAAAGGCCAGTGTGTAGCACAGTTTAATGTGTGGCTAAAGGAGTGGTGTAAAAGAAAAAGCTTTGAAATGAAAAACTGTACAAAAGAGATGGTTTGCATCCATCAAAGAAAGGGACTGAGTTACTTGGCATTAAATTCACAGATTTCCTGGATAAACATTTAAACTGAACAGCGGGGGCAGAGAAATACAGAACATTTCTGTCCCCAGCAACCTAAAATTAATAAGGATACCAGTGCATGCAAAATAGATGTTTGTGCAGGTAAGATTATCAACCTTGCTGTCAACCAAAACCAAGCATTTAATAGTGAGTGCCATACCATTTGTATTAATCAAACAAGTGGCAAGAAAGTAGGGGCAGGCAGGCACAACACAGGTTATGTAGACAGTCAGACATAAAGATCTCAAGTGCCTATATACAAATGCACAAAGTCTGGGGAACAAACAGGGTGAACTCAAACTACGAATACATGAAGGTAGATATGATATAGTTGGAATATAGTTGGTGGGATGAAACCCATGACTGAAACATACTGGTAGAGGATACAAACTATACAAAAAAAACAGGCCCCATAAAAGAGGAGGTGGAGTTGCACTGTAGGTAAAGGACCACTAAATTGCTACAGAAATGCATGAAACCAAAGATGAAAACCTCCTAGAATACATATGAAAAAAAGAATGACACGGGGGACTTCATTTATTCTGATATCAATTGGAAAACTAATTCTGCACCAAGTGAGAAATCAAATATGTTCCTAACCAACCTAGCTGACAACTTTGTTATCCAAAAGGTAGAGGGTGAAACTAGAGGGACAGCCATATTGGACTTAATTCTTACAAACAGATAGAGGGAGTTGAAACTTCAGGAACCTTGGGTGACCATGTCATACTAGAATTCAGTATAACACAAACACAAGCAATAGAACATAATGATATCAGAGTCTTGGATTTTAAAAGAGCTGATTTCAATAAACTCAGAGAGAACTTGGGAAAGATTCCATGGATGAAAATCCTAAAGGGGAAAACAACTCAAGAATCTTGGGAAACTCTGAAAAGTATGATCATAGAAGCCCAGCACAATACCACCGAGAAAGAAAAACAAGAAATCCAAAAAGAAACCAGCATGGCTGCACAAAGATTTCTCTGGCAAATTGAAAGAAAAAAAGGACAAGTACAAAAAATGGAAAGAAGGACATACAACTAAGGCAGAATATCAGCAGATAGCCAGAATCTGCAAAGATGAAGTCAGGATAGTAAAGGTTCAGAACGAACAAAGACTTGCAACAAAAGTCAAAGATAATAAAAAATGTTTCTTGCAACATATAAATAACAAGAAAAAAATCAAGGAAACAGTTGATCCACTAATGAGAGAAGACAGCAAGGAAGTAACAGGCAACAGAGAGAAAGCAGAACTGCTTAACTCATTCTTTGCATCCGTTTTCACGCAAAAATAATCTATAGTCCAACCCACCAAAAACATAACTGTAAAAGACAGACCAGAAATAAAAGTTAAAATAAGCAAAAAAATAGTAAGAGAACACTTGTCTGATTTTGATGAACACAAATCACCAGGGCCTGATGGATTACATCGCAGAGTTTTAAAGGAGCTGACAGAGGTCATCTCAGAACCACTGCACCATATCTTTCAAAAATCCTGGAGCACTGGGGAATTACCAGAGGACTGGAAAAGAGCTGTGGTTCCCATCTTCAAAAAAAAAAAAAAACCAGACCCAGGAAACTATAGACCAATCAGGCTAACATCAATACCCGGGAAGATACTGGAAAAGATAATAAAAAAACAGATCTGCCAACATCTAAAAGCAAGTAAAGTAATAACTAGAAGTCAGCACGGGTTTGTTAAGAACAGATCATGCCAAATCAATCTTATTTCATTCTTAAACATAGTGACTAAATTAGTAGACCAGCAAAATACTGTGGACATAATATATTTAGATTTCAGCAAGGCATACGACAAAGTAGACCACAGTGTACTTCTTAGTAAGCTACAAAAAAGTGGAATAGAATAGCTAACACCCAAGAAGATGGATCTTGACAGACTAGAACACTGGTCCGTATCTAACAAAATGAAATTCAATGTAGAGAAAAGTAAAGTTCTACACTTATGCAAGAAAAACAAAAGTACACATATGGACTGGGTGAAACCATAGCAGTAACTGTGAGAGGGATCTTGGAGTCTTAGTAGACCACCAGCTAAATATGAGCCAGCAGTGTGCAGCAGCAACCAAAAAAGCTAATGCAATCCTAAATTATAATAACAGAGGGATACAATCAAGATCAAGGGAGGTACTAAAACTATAAAGCCTTAGTAAGACCACACCTAGAATACTGCATCCAGTTTTGTTCACCATATTATAAAAAAGATGTTGAGACTCTAGAAAAAGTACAGAAAAGAGCAACCAGGATGATTAGGGGACTGGATATAAAACGTACAAAGAACAGTTACAGGTATTGGGATTGGCTAGTCTAGTGAAGAGAAGGACCAGGGGAGACATGATAGCAGTCTTCCAATATTTGAGGGGCTGCCACAGAAAGGAAGGGGTCAAGCTATTTTCTAAAGCACCTGTAGGCCAGACAAGGAATAATGGATGAAAACTGAACAAAGAGAGATTTAACTTGGAAATAAGGAGAAACCTTCTGACAGTGAGAACAATTAACCAAGGGAACACCTTGCCCTCGGAAGTTGTGGAAGTGTGATCACTTGAGACTTTCAAGAGGAGACTGGACTGCTATTTTTCAGAAATGGTGTAGGGTCTCCCACTTGGGCAAAGGGTTGGACTAGATAACCTACAAGGTCCCTTCCAACTCTGATTATCTGTTATCTGTTATATAGGGTAAATAGAATTCCCCATTGTATAATCTTCTGCTACTGGGCAATGTATATGCATATCAGAGCAGTATAAATGTTGGTTACATGTGCCTTTCTCAGTTTTGAAATCTAATAGAAGGATATTATTATATCATGTAAGGCTGATCTCTAACTAGATCCATTTAGAGATTATGACTTGTGATAATCATAATTTTCATATTTTGATATAGATGTATATTAAGAACATATATAATAATGCTAGATTTATACATCTGAAAGGAAGGGGAATTTTTTTTTAGAAAAATTGAAGGATATGCTGTTAACTACAGGAAACAATAGGCAGTTCCTCAACTAACAGAGGGGGGGGGAGGGAGAAAGAGAAAAAAAAGAAAGAGACAGAGACACCAGCTTGTGGGGGGAGCAAACCATTTCTCAGTTGTCCTCTAGCAAGCTGGAGTGTCTGTTTTATTTTGCAACTTCCTGTTTGACACCTCTCTCCCATTGTAATCTCTTCAAATCCCAGCCAATCCTAAATATGTTCATTTTAGAATTACATTTTACACTATGAGCTTTTCACAACTGATAGGATTGCAGCCTTATATTGTAAATTCAGAAAAACAACAGCTTTCTCCATTATAAATGATGGATTTTTTAAAATGAAAACTGTATTTAAGATATATTCTCTCAATGCCTAAGTAACCACTTATTTTCCCCCTCTAATAATTTAAGAAATAATATAATCAGCATAGAATGGTAGCATTTTACATTATGTGTTTTTGCATGTAATTCATACAGTTTTCTTCTTGGATATGGGCTATAAACCCAAGAGTGAGGGCTATTACAACATTTGTTTCAAAAGCCCATGTTGATGTAGTCCTGGTATTGCTACCAGCGATTGTAAAATTTAGAAGTCTGCCAGTTGACAGAATTGATTATATTGTGGTTTCTTATTTATTATTTTTCCAGCACCTTTTGTTTGATTGGGTACAGTAATTGTGTAGATTATAAAGAAGACTTTACGGTTCTGCTTATCCCCACCTACCCACCCGCCCCTGCATGAAAAAAAGCAGACCTCAGGAATCTTTTGCCTAGAGGAGTATCCTTCTCCTCACCCCTTCCCCAATTTTCATGTTTGTGGTTATTGCAGCTGTAAACCATTGAAATGATGCCAGAAAATTCACAGATGTCTTTTTTCCTTCTAAAGTACTAAGAGACAGCTTTTGAGAGGATGAGTGTGGATAAGACTGTAATGCTGGATAGAAATTGCTTTCTCTCTCCTGGGATTCTGGGGCGCTTCCATCCAATATAAGAATGATGTGACCCCACTTTGACTCTACTTTATACTTCCCCTGAGTACAAAGCTAATGATTTTTGTTGTTATAAGGAAACCAGATGAAGAAACATTATTGTTACTTTTTCTAATTAGAAACTAAAGTTCCTCTTGTTTTTTTAAAAATGGCCTTGCAGGATTTTTTCCCCTTCTTTTGGGAGGGGGATTTGGGTTTTCCTTAATTTTACCACTTTGGCATTTAAGTCGGCATAGTTTCTAACAGGAATGGAGGGGAGAATGATTAATTTGTTTTATTAGTTACATCTTTTTTTTGCATTCTGAATTATTATTTTTTAATCCAGTGGAAATAACTTGGGTTTTAGCTCAATTATAGACATTGGTGTTATCTGAGCCAGATATTTCATCATGATCTACTGCTCCTCTCTGTCTGAGGAATGTGTCTGAGATTTATAAAGTCATTGGGGATTGGTAATTGTTTTAAAAGTTTTGAATGCAGGAAAAAGGGCAGATGTTTCCTTAAGCATATCGAATAATTTCTCCAAAATCCAGCTTTAAACCCACAGTAGATTGTGGCCTTATAGGCACAACAGTTTTGGATCAGATCTACTGCTTTCCCTAAGATTACTTCTTTAAAAAATAGTCTTTTAAGAAAAAGCCCAGTCTAGATGTTTCTCTCTTGCCAATCTCATGGTCACATGGAGGACAGTGGGAGCAATGTAAGTCCATTCTTTCTCCACTATTATGTTTTGCATCAACTTTTCTCAAAAACATGAGAGTTAGGTACCTCCCAAACATATATAGATGGCTATTGGGAGATGACATCCTAAGATCACAGGCTCCTTCATAATATATTTGGTGGAGAGAAAAGTCACAACACAAAAAGATTCATGGTTACTGGATCCCAATTATTAGACCAACAATAAAGAATGAAAATTTGTCCAACATATAACTGAATCTAACATGTACATTGCTAAATGTACATTCTTCATTAAACTGGATACTATAGTAAGCTTTTGGGGATATTTTTTTCAAATGAATTTTGTGATAATTTCTGCATGTGAATATATGTGAATATATCTTTCTATCAATGGCAGTTTTTTATTGAACATTCAGCAATATAGGTAATAAAAATCACAATGGACTGATGAATAGCAAATTCTGTCTTTCTTGAGGTCAATATACTATATGCTTGACAGCTAGATAACTCATTGTGATGAAAAATTCCTGTTTGCACACCTAGAGAAAGATGGACTATTTGATAGGCAGCACAGAACAATGACACACTCACTCTTGACTAGCAACCATTTTATTGCTGATGTCCTGAGATGTGTAAAGTGAGATGCAATTGAACAATATTCCTAGTGAACAAGCTTCCAGCTTGCAAGCCCAGTTTTAGAAGGTATAAAAGAGGATATCTGTGTTATAATAATAGTTACTGAATTTTGTGCTACAGCAAAAGAATATCTCTCATTTTGATTTTAGTCCACAGCTGAGTGCTTTACTTTCTGAGGATTTGACTTCATTACCTACCAAAACATAGTAGAAATTAGGATGTCTGGTTTGCCGTCATAATGATACGGCCAAGGGATAACTGGGATCTGCTTTCTGCAATCAATTTCACCCTGCCAGAGGCCCCCAAGGTGGTGAAAGTTGCCTAATAGAGGTGATAATAGAGATGGGAATCCTGTAGATTACAAGAGACAGTAGTCTCCTCGTTCGATCCAGGAAAGTCACCAAACTGTCAGAAGAAAGGGTTAGCTGCACTTGTGCAGCTGCCTGAAGCCATCAACACCAGAAAAAGGAAAGGTCTGGGTACTGCTGAAGTACCAATAAAAAGATCACCAACATCATGCTTTGAAGCTGGGTAAGACTACTTTTTCTCTATCCCTTTGAAAAATACTTCCTGGAACAGATAAATCCTAAAAGAAAAGCCCCAAGAAGCGACTGGAGGAAGGGGGAAATATACACCCCCTCACGAGAGGGGAAAAATGGCAGCCAAACAAATGAGGGGCCCAAATGGGAAACTAAAATAGAAAACCAGAATGAACATATAAGAAAAAAAACCTCTGTATGGCAAACATTGAGGACATTTTTTAAAGCTTTTGAGAGCAAAGATGGTTCAAAATAACTAATCAAAGAACATTAAACTTTATTTGTGTTACGGATTCCTGAAGAATTAATTGAGGGAGAGTGACACCTTATGGCAAAGAGGACAATATTGTTGAAATGTAAGCAGAAGATGTGGCTTTAAGCCCAGACATAAATAACTGGTGGTGACTTTGAAGCCGAGAATTTATCAACTGAATAAGGCACAGCTGGCAAATAGAGAAAACAAGGCATTTCACTCTTTATTATTTTGTGGGATTTATTGTTTGGACTAGTAAAAGCCAACAGGCTATTGTGGATTACAAACACCAATTGACTTGGATTTATTGATTGGGCAAGACAAGCTGGTTATACAGGTCTCAGAATTTGGATTACAAACGCTGGTTGAACTGCAACTCTGATTGAGAAAGCTGGATTTAAAAACCTTAGTTTGCTCTGGTGGATTCAAATACTGGATTATTGGAACCTGTGAGATTATAAAGCCTATAGACAAAGGAACGAGAATAAACTGTATAGTTAAAAGTTGTAAGATTTAAGATGTAATTTAAATTGCTTTTTGATAAGTTGAATAATTTTGGCTATATTAGAAAATGTTAACATTTACTAGTTATTAGCTGAAGAACTTGAACATTTGCTGGGGGAAAATAAAAATGAGTACCTCATATCTCACTAAAATTGGTAAAAACCTCCTCACCTTCCTCTGAGGCTCCTAGTCCTATACACCAAAATGTGCTGGTGATTTAATGCTCCAGCAAGAAAAATCTAACAACTTTCAAAAAGAAATGCAGATAACATTACAGATGATTCAGGAAGTAATTGTCTCACAAAAAGAAGATATAAGAAAGAATCACGATGATATAAAAAGTGAGATAAAAAGTAATCAACACAAGATGGAAGAAAAAATAGGTAAGATAAATGAACAAGTCCTTAACATAAATTCCCAGCTAGAAAATTTTCAACAAAGAGTTACAAAGAATGAATAAAGAATTCACAAAATGGAAAATAAAACAGGAGAAATGGAAAAAAGATGGAAGAAATAAAAGAAGAAAACCAAAGATTGGCATTGGCAAATAAAAATCTGGAAGATACAGTAGCAACATTGGAAATGGAGAAGACTTCATACATAATAATTAGAATGTACCTGAAGATAAGGAGGAAGACTTAATGGAGTTGATTATGAACCTGCTGGTGAATGCTTTGCAAATTGAGAAAGTTGTAATAGTACAGGAGATTGACCAAATTTACAGACTAAACTCAAGCTATGCAAGAAGACACAGAGTGCCTAGGGAGATCCATGTTAGATTTGTGAGGAGAACAATAAGGGATGAAATATTGAAGAGAGTGAGGGAAGAACCATTACAGTACAGAAAAAAGGAAATCATAGTATTGAAACAGATCCCTTGGAAGATAAGAGATCTAAGAAGACAATATCAATTTTTGACAGCAAAGCTGAATGAAAAAAGGAATAAATTTTAGATGGCTGGTTCCAGAGGAGATCCTAATGAACTGGAACTATAGAATATAAAGACTCGATTCTATCTTTTAGGCAGCAGATTTATGAGAGACATGCAAGCATTTTTGAAGGGAAAACACAAGGTGCCCAAGAAGATAAGGAATCCAAAAGAAAACAGGGAAAAGAAAAACAACAGAAGATACAGTGATAGAAAATGAAGATGAAGACAAAGAGAAAGAAACCACTGATCAAGAGAAGAGAGACTAATAAGAGAACAAAGACAGAGAAGAATTACTAGGAAACCAAACCCTAAATTATAATTAAGCAAGATGGAGAAAATAAATGTTATCCTTTCAATGAATATAAATTTATAAATTCATATAATTTATATTCAATGAATATAAATGAATTAAATTCCCTTTCTGAACAAAGAAAAAATTGATACAATTATGAAAATTGGACACAGAAATAATTCGTTTGCAAGAAACACACATAAAGAAAAACACTATAAACTTTTAGAATGCCCCAAAATTGGGAAACTATATTTTACATCAGCACAGAAAAAAAAGAGGAGTAACCTTATATATTAAAGAATCATTGGACTCTAAACAGATTTACTCAGATGAAGAAGGAAGAATTTTAATGATGAAATACTAACTAATCAAAAAAAGATTTTGAAAATAGCAATATATGCACCAAATAATAAGCAAGAAATTTTTTACCAAGCATTACATGAGAAATATTGGAAATAGAATATCAAAACATTTGTCTTCTAGGAGATTTTCATGCAATTGTGGATGAAACACTAAACTATAAAAGCAGTAAATTGGGGGGAAAGGAAGAAAGAATCTAAGATGTTTTTTTAAACTGTTAGACGACATTTGTATGCAAGATGTCTGGAGAGAAATAAACTCGAAATAGATCCAATACACATTTTATTCAATTAGACACAAATCATGGTCTAGAATTGATATGATATGGATGTCCCCATAATTAAGAACTGATATACTTGAGGTGGATATAGAACCCAATGTTTGGATGGACACAATCCAGTTAAATTGACTTGGAGAGGAGTAAAGAAGAATCTTAGGTGGACGCTAAACCAAGCCATATTAAGAGAGAAAGAATTCATAAAACCCACAACAAAGGAAATGGAATTTTTCTTTAAAGAAAATAAAAGAGAAGATACCACACTCCAAAACATATGGGACACAGCCAAAGCATACTTTAGAGGATTAGCTATAACTTACATGGCTAAAAAGAATAAAGAGAAAAAGTGATAGACTATGATGTTAAAAGAAGATTATAAGAAATTGGAGTTAGAGCTTCAAAGAGATCCACAAAAGAAAACACTTAAAAGACAAATGGAGATAATTAAACATAAATTGAATTTAATAGTCTCAGAAGAAATAGCAAATAAACCAGGAAGATGGTTGGCATATAAACTGAAAAAAGAAAAAGAGAAAAAGGTGATAAATAAATTGCAAGATGACCAGGGACACACACATTTCCAAACTGAGTCATTAAAAAGAATAAAGAATATTATGAAAAGTTATATGATATAGAAAATAAATTTATGGAAAAAAATAACACAATATATGGAAGAAGCCAATCTACCTAAAGTCCCAGAAAAAATTAAAACTATATTAAATGAAAAAGTAACAGTGGAGGAACTAACAGAAGTGATAAAAAGACAGAAAAATGATAAAACTCCAGGCCCAAATGGGCTACCAGCAGAATTTTATATATGTTTTTCAGACACGTTAGGTTCGCCACTGAAGGAAGTTTGTAATGAGCTATTATTAGAAGCCAAATAACCAAATATATGGATAGAAGTGAATATTATGCTAATAGCAAAAGAAGATGTAGACCTGATGCAGATAAAAAATTATAGACCAATATCTTTATTAAATGTGGGCTACAAAATCTTTGCTTCAATAATAGCAGAGAGATTGAAATTTTTTTGACAGAATTTATCCACCCAGATCAAAATGGTTTCTTACCAAAAAGACAAATAAAGCACAATTTAAGGATCATTTTAGATACATTGGAATACTATGAAACACATCCAGGAAAACAAATGGCACTAATATTATTAGATGCCCAGAAGGCTTTTGACAATGTAAGTTGACAATTTATGATACATCACCTATACTGTATGGACTTTGGAGAAGAATTTATAAATGTAATTAAGACAAAATATCATAAACAAACAATTAAGATAATTGTAAATGGGGACTATACAGAGAGCTTTAATATAAAAAGAGAACAAGTAAGGATGCCCGCTATCGCCTTTATTATTTATATAAAATTTGGAAATTTTGAACAGGAATATCAGATAAAATTCAGAAATCAAGGGAATGGAGATAAGAGAGGAAAGATATAAACTACAAGTGTTTTGCAGATGATTTGGTATTTATTGTAGAAGAACTGCTAGAGACAATTCCAAAACTGTTAAAAGAGATAGAGGAATTTGGAGAAGTAGCAGGACTGAAAATAAACAGAGAAAAAAAACTAAAGTTATAGTTAAAAGCCTTACACAAAAACAAAAATAAAATCTGGCAGAAAAAGTGGAGTTTCAAATAGTTAAGAAAGTTAAACATTTGGGAATATACTTAACAGCAAGATGTGCAAAGATAAAAGAAGACAATTATATAAAATTACATAAGCAAATAAAATTAGATTTGGAAAAATGGAAAAACCTATGTTTATCAATGTTAGGAAGGTTTGCTACAACAAAAATGAATATCCTACAAAAACTGCTTTTCCTGTTCCAAACAGTACCTATAAAAATGGAAAAGAAATTATTTGATGATTTGAACAAGTTGATGCTGAAATTTATTTGGCAAGGAAAACAAGTGAGAATATAATTGAAAATGCTACAAGAATCTAAAGAAAAGGGAGTATTTGGACTACCAGATTGGTCTTTATATTATCAAATATGTGTGATAACATGGTTAAAAGAATGACACAAGAGACTGATATACTTAGAAGGACATGATTTACAATTAGGATGGCATACCTTCCTATGGTATGAGAATAATAAAATCCATACATACTTTCAAAATCACTATATAAGAAGCTCAGTAATATCAATGGGGGGCGGAATCAAACCTAAAATATACTTGGAAGATGGAAGACTTTACATACCCAAATCTGTGAAGCTTGAAAAATTTTTGACATATAAAGACATTTTGGACACTGAAGGGAAATTAAAATTGAAGCAAGAGCTTGAAGAACAGGACATTATCATGGTGGCCTCAATTGCAAATATGATCTAGATATGATACAGATATGAAAAAGTATGGCTTTTATAAGAAACAAACAACTATTGATAAGACACTGTTGAACTCTGATGAAAAACTAACTAAGAGATATATGTCAGATCCCTATTGTAATACTGCCATTCATGTACAGAGGAAACCCCACATTCTGTTACTCATCCTGTTTCCTATGTATCCTGTAATTTCCCTAGTTTATAACTTTTACTCTGTCACCTATTCTGCCCTGTGCTTTGATTTACTGTACCTTGTGGAATGTACAAAGGGAGAGGGCCATCTGTTCTCCCACGAGCTGCTCAAAGCATCCAGTAGTGGGAGGTGCTTCAGTCTCTGCTCGTTTAGGCTGGGCTTAATTTGCGGAACACTCCTCCTCCACCACCACGGGACTCCTCCCCAGCGTTCCCCAGTTTTGGCTCAGCCTCGTGAGAGATAGGCAGTGCTTTTCGTTAATCCTTGGCCGAAACAGGAGAATTCTCGTTAAGGTTTTCAGATAGTCAATTTCCTCTCCTCTTCTTTGACTTACCAACACTGCCTTTGCTATATGGCCATCGGGGATCGCATTATCAGGAAGCGCTCCTTGCACTACTAAGCGCAGGGAGGCTTCAATTTCGTTCCATTCCTCCCAACTGCTAGCCCTACCCTTGCCATTATGATCGCTGAGCCCTTTTAACATTTAAATGGCGTGGCTTTTTCTCTCTCACTCTCTCCTGAGTTGTATCACAGTTTTCCCCCCCACAAGAACGCCGTTTAGGGGTGGAGGTGTAATCGCCTGGTTATTTTCACCCCTCCCAGCCAGTTTAGCCCTAAGGGAAAGCTGTTGGAGCTTATCCTTTTTCTCGTCGGGAGATTGCTGCTGGCACATGCGCCGCAAATAACGTCTGGTCGCCATTTTTTTGCTGTAAAGGGACCGCGTGGCCATGTTGAGTGCTAATTCAATAGACTGTATGAGGTAATCCTTATTCCAGATTGAAGGGGTTTTTTACACAAAATACCCCAATGAATCATTACAACCTTGTTTCCAACCTATTTGAGGCCTTTGTTAATTCATGTTGTTGGCTCAACCCTCACAGTTCTCCCTATCCAGCAGCACAACAGCGAGCACCTAGGCCAGCGTCTGCCTGTGCAGAGAAGCTGTTGAAGGCCTGTGAGTGATAATTTGGCCTACTAGGCGTTCTCAATTTGGCTAATTGGGACATCCAAATTTGATATATATTTGCATACCCATACAAATTATTAATATTAATAATACTAAGATAATCATATTAATCATACCAATATAATAATACTAGCAATTTCATAACAATAATAAATTATTATTGTTGAGATACGACTCAATTTTGAAGGAGATATCCATATTTAAAAGGGGGGGTTGATTTCAGTGCACCCTGTCCATTCTTGGCCAGGTCCCTGGGTGCCCCAACTGCCTACACAATATAGCATTAAATAATGAGTGTACTGTTCATTCCACAATCAAAATGGCAGGGAGTAGTGGTTCACACACCTCAACTTCAAGGGGCAAGTCCAAATCTCAACACAATCCTAAGCAAAAAAAAAAAAAAAGGACTTCTAAGGCATCAGAAAAGGATGCCAACAGGCGCAACAAGGCACTGGAAAAACAAATAGATAAGTGCACACGGGAGGCACACAGGACCTCTCAAGCTTCCTCACCTCACAGTCCAGAGCCGTCTTCTTCTTTCCTCCCTCCTACCCCTCTAGATCTCTCCCTCTCATCCAGGCACAGCATGGCTCCTCAGACTCAACAGGCCCAGTCAGTTCAATCACCAACCATGCAAAGGATACCCAAAGCGACATTCACACCAATGGCTGCCGGTCTTCGACAGGAACAATCTCTTCCAGACGATGTGCCAGAGTGAATGAAGACCTGGATAGAGATGGCTATCGGTCAGGGAATCACAGCAGGTCTGCAGCAATCAGTTCGGTCATGGGCCAGGTTGGAGCAACACTATACCCAGGTACAGTTTCAAGGGGGTATGTTCCTACAGGAACCGCAGGAGGAGGAGGAGGAGAAGGAGGCAGAAGAGGTGGAACATATTGAGCAGATGGACCAGAGTGAATCAGAATCAATGCATGATACTGACCCGACCATGTCAGAACCAGACCCCTTAGAAAGGAGGATGTCTGAGGATGAGGGCCTTGTTCCCGACCAGCCTGTATTTACAGGCTTGTTCCGGCCACAAGTTTTCAAATCTCTATTGTTCAAGGCCAAAAACACTGCGTGCCTGGACAAGCCGGTCTCTTCTACCATTCCAACTCCATCAGATGAGGGACCAGAGGTCACCCAACCTGTAGTCGAGGCAGATGTGATTCCAATCCCTCACATGTTTGCAGACCTGGTACAGAAACAGTGGGCTTCAGCAGCAGTGTACCCAGCCCCCACTGGTTACAACAGGAAATTCTTTAATTTGGCCCCAGATTTCTTAAAATTGTTGAATACTCCTGAGGTAGACGAACTCATTGTTGGATTAGCGTCCTCGTCCTCCATTCCCAGTGAGGCACTGGAGGCATTAAAGCCAGAGGACAAACGGGCCGAGTTAGCCCTACGCAGGGGCCCATCAGTCTGATGTGTGGGCCATCAGAGCAGCCACGGCCGCTTCCTTCTTTACCCGTTCTTCCCTTAGATGGCTCCGGCTATTACAGGAGCATTTCTCCAATTCTAACACTAGAGCACACCAAGACATTGCAAAGCTTATAGCAGCCGCTGAATTCTCAGCTGACGCAACCTTTCATGCAGTTTTCAGCCAAAGCCATTACTTCACAAGTCACAGCACGACACTTGCTATGGTTAAAGAATTTACAAGTGGATATTAAACATAAATGCAAGCTCGCTTCATCTCCTCTAGCAGGAGACAGACTGTTTGGCCCTTCCCTCGATCCGCTACTCATCGAGACTCAAAACAAAAAGAAAATTTAACCCTCCCTTTTTCAGAGGTCAGACCCTAGAAACTCTCAGTCCTTTCGGAGGGGAACCTTTTGGCCCTTTTATCAGGGACCATTCTCAACCAGATACCAGAGAACCCTACCTTTTTGACCAGGGCAACAGCAACAGGTCAGACTTTGGGGATAGGAACAGAAGGGGTGGCCAACCCAAGAAATCCTTCTGAGGAGCGGGAAATAGATTTTTCCGGCGTCCAAGATAACTCCATGGACCCAGCTCCCATTGGCGGCTGCCTTAAATTATTCACGGACCAATGAGACTCCTCAACGTCTGATTCCTGGGTCAGAGACATGATCAGATTCGGCCTCGCGCTGGAGTTTCAATCCGCTCCCCCAGACTTCTTTATGTCGTGCCCTCTTTCCAGAGATCCGGTTAAACAAAATCTTATGGAAACAGCTATTCAGCACCTACTGGATATATGAGCCATCCAACCAATAGCTACCGACCAACGAGGGCAAGGTTTCTATTCACATCTTTTCGTTGTTCCCAAAAGTTCAGGGGGGTGGAGAGCAATCTTGGATTTGAAATGCCTTAATCAATTTTTAGTATATCACAAATTTAAATGCACACCCTGCAATCTATCTTACTTGGTATCAGAAAAGGTGACATCCTTACATCCATAGATCTGACGGAGGCATACTTACATATTCCAATTTGGCCTTCCCACTATAAATTTTTATGATTCCGTTATAATAATATCCATTTTGAATATGTGGCTCTTTCTTTCGGACTAGCCTCTGCCCCCAGGACCTTCACAAAGGTTTTTGCAGCCCTCGCTGCTCATCTCCGGGGTGTCCCCATACGACTGCAGTGTTACCTCGATATCTTAATTTTGTCATCTTCTGTTCATCAATCAGTCATAGATACTCAGACCACATTACAATCCCTACAACTACACGGGTTCTCAATTAATTGGGAAAAGAGTCATTTAACACCTTTGACTCGATTAATCCATCTGGGGGCAGTCATAGATACAGTGGAAGGCAAAGTTTTCCTGTCACCAGACAGACAAAACAGCATTCATCAATTAGTTAAGGAGATCAGGGTTCATAGGAGGGTGTCCCTAGCTGATCTATCAAAATTGTTAGGCAAGATGATCTCATGTATATCTATTATTCCTTGGGCCTGGCTCCACACTAGATCCCTCCAGTGGTTCCTGCTCCCGTACCAGCGATCCGGCCGAAGAAACTCCAAATACAAGGTCAAAGTTCCATCACAGGTCCTCATATCTCTTCTCTGTTGGACAGACCAGCCATAAACAAAAGTTGCCTATTCAAAGAGCCCCACAGACTTACCATCACCACCGATGCCAGCCTGATGCGATGGGGAGCTCACTTTCAATCGCTCACAGCCCAAGGCCGCTGGTCCTCCACAGAACGGTCATGCAGCATAAACTGGCTGGAGCTTCGAGCAGTACACCTGGCTCTCCGCAGCTTCCTTCCACAGGTACACAACCAACACATATTAATATTGACCGACAATGTAACCGCAAAAGCTCACATAAACAAACAGGGGAACTCAGTCGAAACACCTCATGCGAGAAATGGAGCATTTGTGTCATTGGGCAGAGAGCAACCTGATTTCCATCAGAACAGAACACATTTCAGGACTGTCGAATACACAGGCAGATTGGCTAAGCAGGGCCACGATAGATCC